TTCTCTCACACATGGTAAACAGAGTAAACATAGAGTCACTGTCATAGTTAGCTAAGCGTGGAAGACTGTCCGAGAAAGTCGACCTGATTAGATAGTTGGTCCGGGGAATTAACACCTTGGGGCACGACATACGGGTCAGTCTTAAGGCGTTCTACAACGCGTATGCCTATGCTACAGCGATCGAGAAAATGCCCTCGGCTGTCCTACCTCTGCGATTGCATGTAAAAGCCTTCGTACGTGGGTCAGTAGCTCAGCAGGGATACGCCCACCTAAGGGATGGTGACAGCTCCCGCGGGTGGAGGTAATGTTGTACCTCGCAGGATCCCTAACCTGTCGTAGGGAGTCGCGAGAGGTATAACACGCGCACACAGTTGGAGTGGTGTTTTAGTAAAAGTGACAAAAAGAGACTCCTGCGTGACACGACCGTGAGGTCCGACACAAACCTACTTTGCGTCTGGGTGTGGGACTGCCAAGTTGGATACAGTACGAACACAGCCTCGTCCCATGAGGGCTGGAAGTTCCCCAGTCACTGCTCCGGTGGAGACAACTTCCCTATGCAACTAGAATGAGGCATGTGCAAGGGGCATTGATTGCTTTCCTGAGAGGGAAGGATTAACCCCTCACCATGCAAAACTCAAGCCTTGTCCTACTATAGTCAACCAGCAGTGATTAAACCTGTGTAACACTCCGTACGACGTACGGGGGGTTTATCATACGGTCGTACGTACGGCCGTACGTACAACCCAGTACGAAAAAAAAAAAAAAAAAAAAAAAAAAAATCTCAAATTTGGTAACGAATTTCAATATTACCTTAAGACAAAAGTGTTTTTGTTTATTTTTCTGCATAACATATATTTTTTTCAGATCTTTTTGAATTGTTTTTTTTTTGCTTTTCTTCTGTACGTACGGCCCGTACGACCACATGAGCCCGTACGTACGGTCGTACATACGTACGTACGGCCCCGTATTCGTACGGGGTATACACAGGATTAAACCCTCTAAGGTCGAAAAACAGGGGGGGAAATTAAAGCAGGGCAAAAACAATCTACACAATTATCACCAGAAGTCATCAGAACACTTGTCATAGCAGGACAAAAAAATAGAGCACAGTCTCAAATCTAATGAATCCCTAAGTGATTACGATCAGAGATAACAGAACATGTGCGCAGGACAAAAAAGTTGAGCACAGCCTTCCACAACTATTCAAACGGATTCCAGCCCAAATAATTTTGTATTAAAAAAAAAAAAAAAAAAGGGTCCGATGGCTACCGTGAGCTAAATGTAGTTTTCATTGGTTAATTTTTGCGTAGAGTTTGAGAGACGCTGGACCCGGTTTCCAGCCCAGCCTAATCTGGGTAATGGCCCCAGACCTTTCCAGGTCGAATGGTGAGGTCCTAAGCCTCAGTTTGAAGCTATTTTGGCAGTATTAATCGCCAATTTTCCAAAAAAAAAAAAAAAAGGCTCTCTGACTTCGTGATTCTCCGAGGCTTCAAATTGTGAGTGCACTAGCAGACCCCTTGACAGCCCTAGAGGACACGGCGGGATTTGCATTTATCCCCCCAGATTCGACGGCCGAGGCACACTTTCGAATCTTGGACCATGTTGGAGAGTCCGGTGGAGGTCCATCCGAAAAAGCGGCATTGCAGGCTGGCCACTCTCCACCAGCAGAGGGTGCCTTTCAAAGGAAGTTTGTGACAGCCATTCGAGGTTTCAAAAAAAAAAAAAAAAAAAAAAAAAAGGGCGACGGCCTTGAGATATTATCATTAAGCTGACCGGCCCCAAGCAATTTATTAGTACTTGGTTTAACTTGTCAACTTGAAGTTCCATCATCTGGATTTGAACTAGGGTCTGTATTTCAAAAGTTCATGGGTGTACCCAATGAGCTAGGCTCTTGGATCCATCTGAGGGTTTTGGGAAGGGACAAAAGCTTGGGGTTTGCAAGCCTCATGGCACTCGACCCGGTTTTATTTGTTTATTTATTATTATTGTTGTTATTTTTGAAAAGGAAGCTACATTCTTCTCTCAGGGCACGCTCACACCGCGGTAGCAAATCCGTATAAATTGCGAAAATGGGTTGGGCCGAATTGGGGTATTTGGGACGTTTCAGGTCACACTGCGTTCACACCGCGTGCCCATTTCGCTAAAGACACGGTCGCTACTGTGCCATCAGGGTGCTGCTGTTTGGGGTTTCCAGTCACACAGAAGTAACCCCAAATATAGAACGTGCATGTTCCCTTTTCAACTTTGCATTCATTTACAAAAATTAAATAAAAAAAGAATAAGGATTTTGCGGTAACCTCTGGAGGTTACCGCAAATTCCTCAAACCCGCGGCCAGGCAGGCCGCTGACAAATGGGTTTGCGAATGGGGTGTTTGGAGTTGGAACCATTGTGTGTGACCAGCCGTGTGCACATTTTTTTGGGAGTTTTACGATTTTGGTACCCAGTGTGAGCGTGCCCTCAATGGGCCTCGCTGCACTACGCTAGACACATGAAAAAATTCAAGAGCACGTCTAGCGTTGTCAGACTCCTGGATTGGCATCAAGTGTTGTAGTCGCTGAACTTACTCCGGACTCTCGACTCTCGTGAGCATTCCTGACTGTCGGACGGACACTAGACAACAGCGCAGTGACGATTTGCCCACTGAGACTGGAGGCATACTCTCGAATTTGCAAACCGCACGAAGTGTCCGGTCGACCATTTGAAAAAAACGCCCCTTCAAGCGGGAACTGTTGAAGCTTCAAGAGCTCGTCCGATGGGCCATTTTTGACACGTCTTGAAGGGCCAGACCAAGAGCACTTTTCCTCAGTTAGTGCAACAATGACTCACTCTCGACCTATGTGACACCCGCGGCCTAGGCCGCGGGCAATTCGGCCTCTGCGGCAGGAAAAGTCGGGCTACGGCTGCCAGGCCCAGTTTGCGGTTCTATTTTTTGGATATTTTTTTGGGGGTCGAAAACTAAGTGGAAAAAAAAAACCCTACGGGTTTTAGGGTTTTGAAATCCATACAGCCCCATTTTTTTTTTTTGAATTTGACTTCATTTACGATTGGTAAAAAATGAGAAACGAAAATCGGTTAAAAAAAAAACATAAGAAATAAAAAATAAAATAAAAGCAGGAATATATATTTTTCATTTTTTTAATGACTGATATAGAGTTAGAGTCCTCCTAAAAATTTTGCCAAGGTAATTGCTTCTTCTTCTTCTTCTTCTTCTTCTTCTTCTTCTTCTTCTTCTTCTTCTTCTTTTGTGCTGATTGATTGATTGATTGATTAGGAAAAAAATAAAATTGAATGCGCTAGTTTGTGTGCGTGTGTGTGTGTATGTGTGTGTGTGTGTGTGTGTGTGCCAGGGGGAGGGGAGGGAGGACCCCTCCCCCACCAATCAATCAATCAATCAATCAATCAATCAACCAATCAATAAATCAATGAATCAATCAATCAGTCAAAAAAACAATCAATCAATCAATATATATATATATTTTCCTATTTTAATTTTTTTTGTTGTCACACACCAAACCCCTCTCCCCCCCCAATTTTTTTAATTTATTTTTTTTAGGTGGCTTCTGGAGGGCGATGCGCCCCCCCGTTTTCGGGCGCGTAACGGCTGGCCGGAGGCCGCAGGATCCGCGGCCGTGGGGGTCATGTAGCTCTCAACGTTTTCGAGAGTGAATCTGACAGCTCTTGAATGGCCAAGGCCGCAGGGTAACGGCTGGCCTGAGGCCGCAGGATCCGCGACCGTGGGGGTCACGTAGCTCTCGACGTTTTCGCGAGTGAATCTGACAACTCTTGAATGGAAATTCAGGATGCGGCATCAAGAGTTAGGGCAGCGGTGATGAACTCTTGATTTCTCAGGATTCAAGAGTAGTGCAGGGAGGCCCAGTTTCACCTCACAATACCTACCTCCCACTATAATCATACGCCGCAGCAGCCAGAACCGTTTTCAGGAGAGACTCGTGAACATGCGGGGGCTGCTCTGTGTTCAGGGGAGACTCGTGAACATGCGGGGGCTGCTCCCCACCAGCAGGAGGGCGACATCAGGGACCATGCCAACAGGACCAATCCCTGTGCCTCCCCTCAGGTGGTGGTCCCCTCCCCTACCAACATCAGCAGACTCTGCTCAATGCCTATAGGGGGATCCAGTGGTCTATCTCTAGGTGGCTGGAGCCAAGCATGCCCAGGAAGGACATGAGGCCGATGGGGATTGAAACCACGACCTCCTGAATGCCACTTGCGAGCCAGTGCCCATGTCTCTCTTTTTCCCCCTTTTTTTTTGACTGATTCGGATTTCCTTCTGGGCGTCCCTTCAGAACTCCCTGGGCGGCCTCACGCTGTAGCAGCGAGCAGGAAGAACGAAGCCAGAAGTGGATTGAAGCGCGAGAGACTTCGCTCTAAGTCTCGACTGTCTCATCAGTCGCATCTCGAGCGTGGTAGGCGCCCAGTTCGTGTCTCGCCCTCTGCATCTCCACTTCCGGATGACTCTGCTTTTATCCTCTCTCGCCTACCACCTTCTCACCTATTTCTCTTCTTGCATCGCTTAGGACGATTGAAGTCATTCCTCTCTCTCTCTCTCTCTCTCTCTCTCTCTCTCTCTCTCTCTCTCTCTCTCTCTCTCTCTCTCTCTCTCTCTGTGTGTGTGTGTGTGTGTGTGTGTCTGTCTGTCTGTGCGTGCATGTGAGTGTCTTTCTTGTGTGACCTTGCCTCTCTGTTTCCCGTTACCTTCGGCCGAGCATCTTCTCCCGTGGCGGTCGCTTGGCTGTTCGCCTGCCGACGCCGATGCCTTGTGATATACGAGAAGGGGTTATTAAGTAGTTAGAGTAAGTAGTTACCTGACAAGATTCGCGGAGCCAGAATTTACAACGCTGGTTTTCAGATCCGTTGTTGGTTCAATCTATTCGGTGTTTCTCTCTGCACACGCGCCGTTCTTCTTCGTTATCATTCGTGTTTCAAAACATTGATTTGAAGTTTGAACGGCCACGTCCTGGAGACTCTGTCTGCACCACGGCGCAGTGCATCCACTGCCCGCTTCCTGCTGTCTGTTCGTCGAAGCACTTCATTCAGACATCTTCTTCTTCCAAAGTCCACGTGTCTCTTCTCCATCGGCCGGCTACCAGTGCCTCTTCGGGTCTCCAGTTGTTCATCGTTATCCTCCGCCGTCCTCCGGTCATCTGGCAACGAGTTATGGGTCTGCGTGTCTCGGCCTCGATGATGATGATGACGGTGATGGCAGTAATGATGATAATGATGATGGGCATGCCGATACGGGTGATAGTGGCAATGGGAGCAGATGGGAGCTGGGCAGCGCAGCAGAGAGGAGGGAAGTCTGCTGCGGGAACGGAGAGCGGCTATGGTGACGTTGGCGACATACAAGGAGAGAGAGCTCTGCAGGCAGCCCCTTTAAGTGCTTTCGACATCTGGAACAAGACTATTCTTCAAGGTCCGCGCGTGGTTTTGACCACCAGTGCTAATTTCTACGGTAATTCATCCGGAGAGATTGAGTGTTTTCAATCTATCAAGGTCGTGGTGTTTAGCTCCCAGACGGGGGTGTTCTTCTACTTGCAGGAGGATTTCTGCCGGAACGCTACTACCCTCAGTCGCCTGAATGGAGGTCAGTCTTTGCACAAGTGCGATTTACGAGGCCTTGCCAGCTCTGGGACCTCACAGGCCAACTCCACCCTGCTCACTCTTCAATGGACTCTGGGTAACCCGAACGGCGCAGCCGTAAGGCAGCCTGACAACAGGACAATGTCATTCTCGTCGGGTATTAACTTCACGGGGCTCGATCTGTCGCGGAGCGAGGAGCATCTCGTTCTTCGCTCTGGGGATGGTCTAGCATTTGTCAACACGGTGGATGGTTCCAGAATCACGTACGAGATCACCGACTTCGCCGGTGAGTTCGGTGCATTGAATCCTAACCGCACTATTTTTCTACGCGGGAAGACATGGCTGTCTTGAGTATTCCGTCATGGATGGCGAGTCGCTGGGCAGATTTGTCAATTATTTCCAAACAGTAGCATGCTCTCGCAGGGGGGCCGCTGGATTCGTCTTCTTCGGTCATCGAAGCTTTCTTCAAGATGGGAGCTACCTGTACGCAGTGGATGCACTTAATTTCACAGTTCAAGGCTTTAACCTAATGAGTGGAGCCATGGCTCCAGTTCCGGACTTGCTGTGGTCAAATGTAGCAGGTAAGGGGGAGCTTGTGCTGACAAAAGATGGATGCCACCTGATCCATCTCACAGGTGATTCGAAGGCTATCCTGCTAATCCGTTTTGATAAACCGCGAGGAACGCCATTCTCTCTGACGTTGGTGGCTCGATACGAGGTAGAAAATGAGTCCATCGTGACGGTTGCTTTGGAAAATGATGACAGTCATTTGTACGTGTCCCTGACCACGGGCCAGCTGTTCGAATTTCCATTCAACAAGTCAGGTCTAAATCAATGCAGCGGTGCATTCCCAACACCAGCCGCAACGACCGCGGCTACCTCAGCCTATCCGTTGTCATCGCAAGCGCCATCAACCGCATCCTCTCCATCGCCATCGTCACCAGAACCATCGATAGAATCATCATCATCATCATCATCATCATCATCATCATCATCATCATCATCATCATTGCCAGGGCAATCAGCTGATGCATCTTCGGCCAGGGGGTCATCGGCTTCGGCGGGACATGATGGGATTAGTACACGTGGCAGCAGTAGGTTGGCCGACACGCTCTTAACTACTTCCCCGACAATGTTCCGAGCTTCGCCGAGGGGAGGTGTCAGCTTCGGTGTGCTGGCTGGAAGCCTTGTGGCAGCTTGTGTGATCGCGGCTATTCTTGGTGGCTATTTTGTCGTCCTCGTTTCTCGATCTAGAAGGCCAGCGATGGCGGCATCTGGGGGTAAGACTGCACGGTCTCCTGCTCTCGAACACCCGGTAGAAGGGCCTTCTGCTCTCGAGTGCCCGATTTGAGTCTGCAGCTCTCTTTCTGTTCTTTTGCTTTCTATTGTGTGTGGGGTTTTGGGCTGCAATCCACAGAGATCGATTGTAGGTAGGTTGCCCACATTGGGGCTTCTCTTGTCAGACTGCTCGTTTGCTGCCAATGCAAAGTCTTCTTTCATCTATTTGCCGCCGAGCGACCGTCGTATGTCACTCTTTACCCGCGTTATGTGCCTTTTCTTTTCGGCTCTTTCTTCTGAGGGGATAGCCCTTAACGTCATCGAGTGAGTCCATCTGGATTTTAACTCATTATAATCTCTCAATCAGCAGTTAGATAACTTTGCGTGACTTCTTTTTTCCCCCTTCCAGCCAGGCGGTGACGGTTGAGGGATGGGATGGGATGGGATTGGTGAAGTCCAGCAAAGGATCAGCTTGTGGGGGGCCAATCCGCTAATGGGTTGGCGGCTGAGGGATGGGATGGGATTTGTGAAGTGTAGCAAAGAGCAGCTTGTTGAGGGCAAATCCACTGATGGGTAGGTGTACTCGCGCTTCCCAAAGTCAGGCTCCCCCACCGATTGGTACTGTTGCGTGTTGCTTTGAGAAAGTGCCGTGACGTGTTCGTGTTCGTGTTCCGTGCTCGTAGTGCCGAGGTTAAGAGAAGGAGCGTACTACACCCAGCACCGAAAATAGGGTGCTAGGTGACACTTGCCGCGCAGGTTCACACTGAGACTACCACAGAGTCATGGGCTGGATGTACTTGAGCGGTAAGTATTGCCAGATTAGGTTGGAAAACCGCTAAGCATGAATGTTACCTAAAGTAGCGTTTGGCTGCATTCCTTCCTCATCCACGTCGTCGCTATCTAATCTGTGTATATTCGAGCTGGCGCCAGAAAATAAACCGTCTCATCGGCCCCGATGGGTCCGTACTGTGAGGTAAGCGGACCGTGGAGTCAAGTTCAAATTCAATCTCTATATCTGATCTCTATCACGTCCTTGCATTGAGAACGGACAATTGTACATTTTATTATTATTATTATTATTATTATTATTATTATTATTATTATTATTATTATATCTATTTTCTTAGATTTGTCTATATTTGATTGGACCTGTTGTTGTTATCCCTTAAACCAGCGCAAAGGGACGAAGTCTTGGGAGTATCACGCGAGAAGGGAGGGGATTCAAACTCTCAATCTTTTTTTTTTTTTTTCATTAAATATCTAATGTACTTTTCATCAATGCCTCATGTGACTCGTGGCGTGATAGGGATTTGAATGGTGTTAGGATTGGGGCTGTGCAGTGGAGGCAAGTTGAGGTTTCACGGAGATGTTTTATGGCAAGTTGAGGTTTCACGGAGATGTTTTATGTCGTTCCTTTTTTTTTCTTTTTTTTTCCTCACTTTTTTGCCGTTCTTTTCCGTGTAGAACCTGTGAATGAGTATGGTACAGTTGTTCACAGTTCCGGAGACCGTCCTTAAGAGTTTCAACAAGGTTGCTTCTAAGGACGCCATTCATTACCAGTATGTTAGTGCAAACGACTTTAAGCAAGGGGCTCTCTTAATCTTTGTTGTCCTCACCCGTTTTGCAACAGATACTATTTACGACCTGAGGCCCTATGTAAAGAAGGGAAAGGAGACCCATGAAAATTTTGATTCTGCCTGGATCTCAGCAGCAAAGTACCTTGAGGAGAGAGAGGGAGTTTCATGAGAATAGTACCAAGCTGATCCGCAGCTTTGGACCTAAGCTCTACTCTGACTACCCCAAGCCTCTAGTTCCCTTCACTCTCACAGATGGTTCTTATTGGGGTGATTTGGTTGACCTAGCAAAAAGATACATCTCTCCGGCAACAGTCGACTATAAGGCAAGGACTTAACCCTCTGAGTTTCGGCATCTCAGACGAGGGATTTGCTCTCAACCATACCTTCCTACTCTATGGGAGGAGTTTTGTGCTATGGTTGACTTCCGTGTCATGAGGCTTGGATGAAAATGTTCAGAGCTAGCAGGCTTCAGGTAACTCTACATCGAGAGACCACAACCTCAGAGGGTACAAAGACTTGGCAGGAAGCACAAGAGGCATACAACAAAATCAGAGATTGAGCGTAAGGTTCAGAAGGATGAGTGAGGACTCTTGACTAGTGCTTGTCATGCTCTCTTCATGTATGCTCTCTGAGACTATTACGAGTTCTCATTCTTCCCTCATTTATCTTGTCTTTGCTCGAGTCAATCAGTCTCGTTTCTTTGCATTACCTGCTTGATGATTGCGCTTCTCTAACTATCCTGTCACGGTTCTCAAAATAAGTAGAAGTTGCAAAATTTATGCATGCATGACACATCAAAATTTTATGATTGTTATTTGCATAGCTCTTTGCTGTTCCGAATCAAAATAAAAGATTTCTAAGACCGGGGATTGGAGAATACCGCAATTGAAGGATCTCACTCGAAGCCGGACGCACACAACAGAAAGGGATTTGCTTTAATTAATTTATTTTATTTATTGCAAACAACATCCAAATCCTGTGTGATCGCCTGTTGGCTTTCTGGTTGTCTGAGGAGGCCTGACTAGAAAAAGCGCGACAGCGGCGACGGACCTTCTTCTTGGTACAGTCGGACCACACGGGGGATTTCGGTTATGTCTATGTCCCCGTACTCAATTTTCCAAAAATCCTTGGCACACCCCATCTTTGCTGCATTTCCCGGGCCCCTTTCCACAAACCAAAACGCTCTAACCGGAAAGCAGCGCAGGGCGTGATGCCGTGAGGTTGGTATTGGAGCCGACACGTGTCGGTTCTGACATTAGCAAGATGAGTTGGTGAGGGGAAGACCAGCCAACCGATTTAATCGGCCGAATCCTCCAGTTACCCCACAAAGGTCCGCCGAAACTCGATCAGGAATGCCCATGGCTGACGCTAATGGAGCGACTCCTCGGGTGATGGTAAACATTCCTCGCCACCTTTTCATTCTACGCCAACCATACCCATCCCGAGGCATGGCTTGAAGTCGTGCAAGCTCAAGGATATGGCGTAAAGGATCTTCCTCAAGTCGTGCAAGCTCAGGAATATGGCGTAGAGGATAAGGCGTAGAAACTCCCTTTTGGATTACCGACTGTGAGAGCTTGAGAGATCCGGAATACCGAGCGTATTGGGAAAGGGAACAAGTCAGACGGCAACAAGCCAGACGACAATGAAACTCACGGAATCCTGAGTACCCTTGCCGAACTGGAAACGAGCAACTGTGCAGAGGCAATTTCCAGTTGGCCATTAATCGAGACTCGCAGATCCCGGATTATCCCGATAGCCGAAGCCAGCATTACCTTCTAACCCCTGGCTTCGTGCCCATCACCACTAGTTTCCCTTCCCATTATGTCGTCCTCTCGTATCACCAACTGCTCGTCGTCCCCTGGGAGTCCATAGCCCGGTTCTGGCCCCGACCGCTGTGCTCAGAGTGTCAGCAGCGCGACGGGCACTGTCCGGCGGGGATCACTTGACAAACCCGTCTCGAAACGGAACAACGGGAGCACAGCTCATCCTCCTCAGCCTCGGAGACCTGCGTCGGCCGACAGCGGTATGAGCATTCCCACTGGGACGCCCGCGGCGCCCCACCCGAACACCATACACGGATCAGGCCGCGAGATCGGCCATCACCCCAACTCTGAGCCGAAAGAGACGCTTGCACGTCTATCCCTTGAACTTGACACAGGAGATTCCAGTTCCGACCTGGACTCCACCCGCACTTTCCTAAAATCCTTGGCACACCCCTTCCCGCACTTCCCGGCCCACCAACACTCCGAAAGCAAGAAGTTGCGCTGGGCGTGAGATTGGGCGTCACAACACTCCTATCCGACTGCTAATGGGACGATGCCCTAGGAGACTGTGGGAAGGGAAGTTAAAGAACGGTGGGTCCTCATCTAAGGGGTAGGTGAAAGGAAAGTCTTCAGCTACTGACCTCTGTAGTAAGTCTTGCCGGAGGGAGGTAAAGAGGGTTGATGGCGTGTAGCTTGATGTAGTAATCTTCTTCAGTAGTTCTATTTTTTCCTAGCCATAGCCGGGTAATGGCCCTGGTATCTTAAAACTTCAAAAATTTTCAATTCTGTATAAATTTCCATATGGGACGCTGGGCCCGGTTCCCAGCACGTGTTGCTCCCCACGAATAGATTGGAGCCTTGTTCCCAAAAAAAAAAAAAAAAAAAAAAAAAAGACCTCGAGGCAAAGGTTGGAAGAGAGGAAGAGCCGAAGTCCAGAGCACAGAAGTGTAGGCTAACAGACCTGGTGTTGAGTCGTCCCCGCTACGACAACTGTAATGTTGAAGTTGAAATTGTTTCTGTATCAAGCGACTCTGGACCTGCTTTCCACCAAGTGATGCTCCCCACCAATAGAGTAGAGCCATCTAAAACTGGAATCCTGTTAATGGAGGATGCTCCTATCAACCTCATTAAACCACCAGTACCTTGCCTCAGTAAGCTATTTTTTTCATGTCGCGGGGCGTTAACAGCTGCGACTTAAGGAGGTTGGCCGTCCGAGGAGCAGTAGCTGGGCCTACTGGTAGTGGTGGTAGGGGATTATGCTCTTTTTTGTGCTGGTAATCAACAGCTATCCGGTAGGGGCATACTGCAAATTTGGAACGGGTACTGGTAGCAGTGGTAGGGGCATAAGATAAACATTTCAGGCCCAACCCACATGGAGGTTTTATGGGAAATTTGAATCGTGGTCAGAGGGGCGCAAAAGGGTAAATTGGCCGTGGGATGGGCGCGACGCAAAATAATCGAAATTACAGGGGTGCCAGACAAATGTTTCCAAAAAAAAAAAGACAAAAGGTAAACAACGAAATGAGACACTAGAGAGATTTAACCGCTTGAAAACAAAATAAAAAGGAAGGGGGGAGAGAGAGAGAGAGAGAGAGGGAGAGAGAGAGAGAGATTTGAAATAAAAAAGGGAATGAAGCTTCCCGACAGCACCGGAAGATGCATTCGAATTTTGCAGATTTGAACGGCCACTCACAGAGAGAGAGAGAGAGAGAGAGAGAGAGAGAGAGAGAGAGAGAGAGGAAGTACAGCACGCCGGGATTTCCTCTCTCTCTCTCTCTCTCTCTCTCTGTGTGTGTGTGTGTGTGTGTGTGGCCGCCGGGTTCAAATCTGCAGAAAGGGAATGAATCTTCCTGTGCTGTCCGGAAGCTTTATTCCCTTTTTTATTCTGAATCTCTGTTTGTTTCTTTTTTTGTTTTCTGGTAACTCTCTCTCTCTCTCTCTCTCTCTCTCTCTCTCTCTCTCTCTCTCTCTCTCTGTG